GGTTTGAAAATGGTGGCAGAGATGTTGTTTCAACTGAGAGATGTCATGGTTGTCACTGCCTGTAAGAATGATGTCATCAACATATACTATCAAGTAAACACATCCAGCACTTGAGTGTCAATAAAAGACAGAGTGATCTGCTTCACACCCAGTCATACCAAATTGTTGAACAACCTTGCTAAACTTTTCAAACCAGGCCCTAGGAGACTGTTTTAGGCCATATAGGGATTTGCAAAGACGACATACCATCCCAGAAGACTCCCCCTGAGCAACAAACCCAGGAGGTTGCTCCATATAGATTTCTTCTTGCAAATCACCATTGAGGAAAACATTTTTAACATCTAGTTGATAAAGAGGTCATTGTTGAAGAGCGGCCATGGCGATAAATAAACGAACAGAAGTCATCTTTGCCACAGGGGAAAAGGTATCTCCATAATCCAACCCAAAAATTTGAGTATAACCTTTGACCACAAGACGAGCTTTGAGGCGATTAATAGTACCATCAGGTCCAACTTTGATAGCAAACACCCACCTGCAACCAACAACAGATTTCTCAGACGGTAACGAGACTAATTTCCAAGTTCCACTATTATGAAGAGCACTTAGTTCATCTAACATGGCCTGACGCCAACCAGGATGGGCTAAAGCTTCACGGACAGTTTTTGGAATGGTCACAGAATAAAGAGAGGAAAGACATGTATAAAAAGGTAATGTTAGTCGATGATAACTCAAACCAATATAATGAGGAGAGGGATTACGTGTAGAACGGATACCTTTTCGGAGGGCAATGAGAAGGTCAGACTCAGGTGTCACATCCGAAGGAGACAGAGTAGTTAACACTTGAGTAGAGTCACATGGTGGTGGTTGTGATTGGTTTCGACAACTATAAACCTGAAGAGGCAGTGAAGAAGAAACTGACTGCGGAGTAGAATCTAATGGTGAAGAAGACACAGTTAGAAGGTCACAAACAACATGAACATTAAATGTACTAGGAGTGTTGACAAGATTGGATGGAGACAGAGGTGAATATTGACTTTTAAAATAAAAAGAGAACTCATCAAAGGTGACATCTGCAGACACAAAATAACGGTTAAGAGAAGGAGAAAAACATTTGTATCCTTTTTGTGATCTTGTAAACCCTAAGAAAACACATTTATGTGATCTAGGAGAAAGCTTGTCAAGACTAAAACTAAAATTATGAACAAAACATGTAGACCCGAAAACTTTTAGAGGTAAGGGATGAAGTGGTTCATGAGCGAATAAAATGGAATGAGGTATTTTATTATCTAGAATCGAAGATGGCATGCGATTAACAAGATAACATGCAGTAAGAAGAGCATCACCCCAAAAATGCTGAGGAACCTCTCCATGAATTAAAAGAGTGCAAGTTGTTTCAATAAGATGTCTATTTTTACGTTCAGCTACACCATTTTATTGAGGTGTATAAGCACAAGAAGTTTGATGCAAAATACCATGAGAAGCCATGAATTGTTTAAAAGAATGAGAAAGATATTCACGACCATTATCACTGCACAAAACTCTAATAGAAACACCGAACCGAGTTTGAATTTCATTGAAAAAAGTTTGAAAGATATGAAATAATTCAGAACGATTTTTCATCAAAAATAACCAAGTGCATATGGAATAATCATTAATGAAAGTAACAAAGTATTGAAAACCTAAAGTAGACTTAACGCGGCTAGATCCCCAAATGTCAGAGTGAACCACGGTAAAAGGGGACGAAGCACCACATGTGACACTACGAGGAAAGGAAGTACGACTATGTTTGCTTAATTGACACGACTCACATGCCAAACTAGACAATTTAGATAAGGCAGGGACAAGTTATTGTAACTTGGCAAGACTTGGATGACCTAACTGAGCATGGAGAAGAGAGGGAGACTCTATAACTGCACCAACATGTGTAAAGAGACGAAGATGATAAAGACCATGAGACTCACATCCTGTGTCAATCACCTGTTTCGAACTCCGGTCCTGTAAACACACAGAATTGTTGGTAAAAGAAACAACACAATCAAGAGAACGAGTTAGACGACTGATGGATAACAGGTTAAAAGAAGACCTAGGGACATAAAGAACATTATCAATGGTTAAAGAAGGGAAAAGTTTAACAATTCCAACACCATGAGATGATACTCTAGAGCCATCAGCTAGTGTAACAAAAGGTACATGATCAGGAGAGGATAAAGAGTGTAGACCCCAAATCTTGCCCGACCTCCAAATAAAGAGAAGAAGACCTCCTATTCGAAGATGGACGAAGCCTAACAAGCCACTAGGAGAGACTATTAGGCCCCATACTAGGATAGGAGGGGTTTTGTACAAAAAATAAGTTTTCTCGCCTTTTTGGGACGAGACCGCCGTCTCGAAATCGAGACCGCCGTCTCGCCTCAGGCAAGTGGCGAGACCGCCGTCTCGTTTGACGAGACGGCGGTCTCTCTACATGCAAATGGCGAGACGGCGGTCTCGCCACCTGCGCAGGACGAGACGGCGGTCTCGACCCTGTCAGACGAGAACGGCGGTCTCGCCACTGCCAGGCGCGAAAACCTATAAATAGGGGTCTCCCCCACCCTCATTTCCACACACCACATAGCTTTTGCTCTCCCTTCTCTCTAAAACTTCTCTCTAGAATCCCTCCGACGCATTTCCGGAGCTTCTGAGTGCCTTTGTGAGCGTTTTTCGGCGTCTAGAAAAGTTTCCAGCGTCGTGTAGAGTGAAGGGCTGCCAAAAAGCACCCATTTCTTTTAAAGAAATAAATAGAAAGCTTGCTTCAGAGGTTTAAATTCTCCCTCTCTACTTTTACTGCTTTAATTTTTAATTATGCAATAGATTAGGGCCATGTAGTCATAATTTTATATTCCGCAAAATAAAAGGGTAAAAGCGCAATTTTCACCGGTTTAAATATTTTTAAATAGCTGGCCTGTCATAGGGAACCCGAAAGGGGCGTAGTAAAGGAACTAACACTTCCTTTACACGTAACTAACTCCCTTACCCAACTCTAGTTCTAATGACCAAAGTTGGTTTTCGAAAACCAATGCCTTTTTAACTCTTTTTCCGATGTTTCCGATAAAAACATCGGTGGCGACTCCATAGAACCCTTCAAACTAGTTCTTGGGTTAGCCCGATTATCGGACAACCCAAGAACGCCCTTTCGAAAACCTCGCCCCTAGGTTCAGCCCGGTTATCGGACGACCTAAAGGCGTTGTAACCACCCATAAAAACGCGAAAATCAAAAGGGTCGAAACCATCATGTCGCTCCGACCGCCCCTCTTTTTGACGGCGGCGGCAAAGAGGAGAACAAAAATTTGTTACCAGTAATATGATCAGTGGCTCCTGAATCAAAAATCCAAGGACCAGAAGAAGATTGGGTCAGACCAGCAAAAGATGTACATGTGTGTGCGACAGACACAGTGGAACTAGAAGACTGTTGATCCTTATACCATTTGAGAAATTTGTTGAACATAGCAGGTGTGTCTGATGAAATAGAAGAAGGAGGATCCTTAGCAGATAAAGGTGGGGAAAGATCAATCTGAGCAACTGCAGTAGATCGAGTAGGACGACCATGTAATGCATAACACTTGTCAATCTTGTGACCTAGTTTGCCACAATGTTCACACTCATGTAATGCATAACACTGGTCAATCTTGTGACCTAGCTTGCCACAATGTTCACACTTAAGACGCCCTTTTCCCTGTTTGCGAGGGCGAGTTCGATCATCACAGTGAGATACCAATGCAAAAGAATCATTAACAGAAATAGGTGTGTCAGGGTTGGGTTTTGCTGGTATACGCAAAAGAGTGGAGCAAGTCGATGTCAAGGTGGGGATAACCGGAAAACCCAAAATTTGATCACGAATATGTGAATATTGATCAGCAAGTTCGTGTAATGCCCCTAGCATGAAGAACTTTGATCGTTGTCCTATCTCGGTGACAGGGTCGGGGGAAGGAGGCAATAACTCATTGAACTCATGAAAAAGAGCATGAATTTTGCCCATATAATCAGTCATAGAATCTTGATGTTTAGAGGCAATAACATCTACAAATTTAAAACAGACATCATAGAGACGTTGAGTATCATTGGTGTATAATAACTTGGCATGTTCCCAGATTTTGGCACATGTTTCGTAGGAACGAAAAATTTGTTGGAATGAAAAATTTGTTTTAACGAAGGATCAAGAGTACCCTTGAGAACCACGCATAATTGAGCATCAATGGTGTCCCAACGGTCTTCCTCACCAGGAGTGAGAGTAGGTGCTTTCGGGGCAAGATGATCAAGATACTTCTGACTCTTAAGCCATAATCTGACGTCTGATGACTATGTGGCATAATTAAGGTCAGTTAACTTGTCAATGGATAAATGCACATTAACATAGTTAGTGTAGATGGAAGGATCAGACGCAGTACTGACAGAATTGGAAGTACTAAAATGAGCGGAATAACTCATAAAGGGCGGAGGCGATAGTGACAGCAGCGTGAACCAGTACACCAGGTAAGTTCCTAGGAAAGAGAGGTGGGTCACTAATGGACACACTTAAATACCAAGTTTTTCCTTGTCAGAATTTTCCTAGACATGCACTTTCACACTACCAAATAACCGACAGCGATAACGGCGGTGGTGGCGGCTTCAATAGTGGTCAAAGGCGAAAAAAAAAAATCAAAATAACCTTAAGCTCTAGATACCATGTTGAATATAAAAGAAATAGAGTTTGGGATTAATCTCCCTTGTGTATAAATCACACATAGGGTAATCTATTTATAGTAGAGAGATACAACTAAAAAAGTAGCTGAAAGTAACAGAATAAACAGAAGATATTGTTTGATATTATGGTTAATATCTAACAATATCTTAACAATATTAAATAATATCTAAACAATATCTAACAGTTATCATTACTTTCTTCACAAGTAATACTGAATTTGTATACTGCTTAATTTGCCTTTTAACAGGTAGCCCAAGAAGGGTATTTTGATGGCAGATCTTACTTAGCCAGCAATAGCATCACAGTCAGTCTTACTTTTGATGGCTAAGCCATGAAGCCAAAAGACAAGTTCAAGAATATAACGTTCCACTTTGTCTTTATCTGCATGATGGAATGTCTCAATCCACATTACACCACTTTTCCTGTTTACCTCATACCTTTAAGAACCAAGGAAGTATTTAAAATAAAAAGGATTAAAAGCACAGAATATACAAGAAAAAAATGTAAAAATTGGAATTCAAAATTGCTGCTTACCCTGTGTTTGCCCACTGCCCAACCCATCCAAATCTATGATGCGCTCTGGACCAATTTTAAAACAACCAAAAGAAGAGGAGAAAAAGGATTAGAGTTAGCTTTTATGAGGTAAATAAACTGATGATTAAAGAACGCTTTTCATATGGGTAGTAGGGAGCTAGTCGACAAAAAGCTGAATATCTTACCTGGATGTGTTAGCGGCCATGGGGACCAACCAACGTAATGTTTTCTCCATCTCATTTGTGATATTGGCTACACTCTGCAAGACTCAGACGGCAACCATGAGAAAAGAGTACAAAAGAACAAGAAGAAAAATTAAGGAGATTTTCATCTTTGGTTGAAAGTGGAATGATGAAATTAGAAGAATATTTATTCTTCAAAAATTAAGTATTTTCAGCAGCATTCTAAATATTATCATGTTATGTAGTGAGTAAACAATCTAGCCAAGTATGAAGACATGTGCTTTGGTGAAGGAATCGTTGGTAAATAATATTAAGGGCGTTGAATTGAGTATGATGAGAAGTCAATGAGGAGGTTTATTGGCGTCATTGTTTAACAGCTATATAGTTGGTATATTTTTTATTTTATTCCCTCGTCTGTTGCGGGCTAGAGCCAAAGTGTGCATAAACCTAATATCAGCAGGTAATCATACCTCTTCTACAACACGAAGGTATGGTAATTTGGAACGCAGAGCTGATTTTACATTAGAAGGCAAGCTTTGATATAGTGAATCCTTCGTATTTGCAGCAGTAATAGTTGATTTGGCTACCTGAGTATCAACAGCGGACACAGTAGAATGTTACTCAATGCATTTACTTTGAATGACATAAATTTGAACTATGAATTAGTGTATATAACTACACCTTATTGAATCCAAGAAAGTACAGTGGGAATAATTAGTGAACAAATCATATCCCAATATCATATAATTAAGTATGAATGTAAAATCTGATCAAAGCATAGGAGTGTGAATGATAAATCTAAGGGATATTATATTTCAATCTCCTAAAGTATTTTATAGGAACCCTGATTCATTATGATCTAGATCAGGCTAAGGTATTCAATGATTAGAATGTGCTACATATGAGAACTTGATGCAGAACAAGTCAATCCGTTAAAATGAAAATGGGAGGTATATTGTTTGTTAATGGTTTGACAAATTGGGATGTTTCAACTACAATCTAGCCATGATTGTGGCATAAGCTACATTATGATTTAGGTGTTTGCACCTAATGAAGCATGGTAAAAAGGGCACAACAAATTACTTTTCCATTCTAAAGTAGCTGTAGAAGGCAGTGAGGTAAGTTCATAATAAATTAACCACAAAAGTACTCGGTTTTCTTTCCTTTAGTAGAGCAGAATGCATTCAAATATTCCAGATTACAACAACAATTGTAGAAAAAAATAAAAATCTTTCAAAACTACAACAGCAATAGAGCAGGATCAAAATGATCAACAATTTCCTCCTAGTCTTATACATTACATTACAAACATAACTAATTGATGACATCCTTAGTATTGAGTTCACTGTCACACACGAAAGATTAGAAGGCATTATTCCCTTAGAAAATGTTATATATCTATAAATTTTGAGGAACATCCTATTTTCACTTTAATAAAGGGGATCATCTACTTTCAAGTCCAGGTCACAGGTGGAGTAGCAACCTGATAGGAAGTTAGTATTAGAAAATAAGGACATGAAATTTTCTACCAAATTGGCACCATCTGATGTGAATGGAAACCAAAATTTGTAGAAATCAAATGCTTGGCTTTGCTGCTGATTCTTGGTTGAGTTTCCTTCTTAGTTTTAATGATAAAAATAAATAAGTTTACCGACAAATCCAAATATCTAATTACATCAAATCTGAAAGTAATTAGGAAGGAAGTTACAGAGAAGTAGCAAAATAGAAATTCAATGCTTGGCGAAAGAGGCAACTCTAGAAACTCAATTTTCACCCGGTTCAAGAGAAGGCAGAAAAATAACAGATAGAATGAATTAAATATGAAGATTAACTCACAAGATTATCAATTTGAAGCACTATATTTGCATAATGCAAAGCAAGGCCTGCAGGGCCCAATCTTTGGCAATTGCTCTTGTGGCCAATTAATGGTTCGTGGTCTTCTGCAGGTGCCCATATGATAAACAACATTACCGATATGTAGAATATATATCTCATTTCAAACTGATTTCAACTGGAATTTGATGGGAATATAAACAAAAAGCTTCCTCCCCACAACCTCCCCTTCCAATAAAAAGACAACCACCCTTTTCTCCCTTTCTAACTTAAACTAAGAATCACTACAAAATAAGTCTGACATAGCTGAGATTTGCAGCAGCTATCACTTGTGTTAACTAAGTCCTGACATTGCTAAGAACTGATATTTAATACTTAACATCAAGAGGCACAGAACAGCATTACAGATAGAGTGAAGCAAACATACTCTAATGGCAAACCTGTATTGCCAAAGGCATTGCTTATCTCCAAACGCAAAAAAAGGACAATATCTACAAGCTTCTCCATAACCTGTAATAGATTAGATTATGAATTATATTCAAGTTTTGAAGGCTCTCCATTTATGATATGCACAAGATGAAACCACATCTATAATAAAAATGATTTTTCTACAGTATATTTGGCATTATATGTTGATCGGATACAATGACAGTCTAATTGAGGATGAAAAAAACGAGGAGGAGAATACTGATCTAAGAGATAAACATGTGCGTAGTAGAAATCTGATGTTACCTCCTCCAAAGTTCTAGACCAGAGTGATTTTTTCTTTAAGTGTCTAATTTGCCTCTTTTGTCTTCTAATTTCCGCCCTGAAGTACTCAAGACCATCATCACCTATATGATAAAGACACACTGAAGGTCAAAAGTATATCTGGAAGAGCCTATATAAACAAATGCTGCTCAATATACTGAAAGGTGAAACATCCGATTCAGAGTGACTTTTTCTTCAAAAATGTGTAATATATATAGGCAAAAATCATTTAGGCCTTCATAATTACATTGTTGACAACACTATCTAGTACTGGCTCCAAACAGCAAAACACTTAAAGTTAAATAAAAGAGAAAAATAATTTTTTTAAGGGCTTAATCACACCTCTAATAAGATCTCTTATTTATAATAATAAAATACATATACAATGAGTAGATGGAAAGTCAAGGGACTAAAGTCTGAGTTACAAACCTAGGTACAGAGATAGATACAACTCTTAGGTTAATAATTCCAACACTCTCCCTCAAGCTGGAGCATGCAGATTGCATATACCAAGTTTAGAACAAATAAACTCAATCCAAGAACGCCTTACTAATTTTGTTAACACATATGTAAGTTGGTCTTTAGATCTAATAAACTCAGTACAAATTTCCTTAGTCACCATCTTTTCCCAAATGAAATGACAGTCAATCTCAATGTGTTTCCTTCTATCATGGCAATGTGAAGCGCAACTTGATTATGATAGTACATTTTCATCATCAGGATCTCACATAATTTAAGCTCTTGAATTGTTTCACCCATACAAGTTTTCAAGTAAGAGATGTCATTACCCTATATTCATCTTCGGCAGAGAACGATTTTTCTATATCTTTCTGGGGCAGAGAACAATTCACCTTGTTCTATCATTAGATTTTGATTTGGATCCATAGGATTGTCTGTTGATCTACAGCCAATCATACATATCTCTCTTAGAATATCTAGTGCATACTTCCTTTGAAATATTACCCCTTCTCTTTACTGAGCTACTTCAATACTCAGGAAGTATATAAAACTCCCAAGATCTTTTGTTTGAAAATGCTTGCACAAGTGTTCCTTTAGTTGGGATATTCTAGCAACATCACTTCCTATAATAATTATATCATCCAGTAGTAGATCTTGACCATTGATTTTGAGGAGGCCAAATAATATATTATTAATAAATAATAAATAAATATGAAAAGATAAAAGAATATGATAGGGTGAAAGGTCAAATTTGTAAATATACAAACAGGTATATTTAATAATCATTAGGTTTGGGGAAACCAAAATCATAAATGCTAATGTAAGTTTTAAAACTTTGTCCCCTCATCTCCCAAGAAGATTTGTCACTTATAACATCAATATATATACTATTAAGTAAACACATTCATCAAGAGAAGTATGACAGTTAAAGATTGAATGATCTAGTTCATTTTGTTTCAGCCCAAAAGTTTGTACAATGTGGCTAAATTTCCCAAACCAAACTCGTGGAGATTATTTAAGACCATAGAGAGAGTGACGTAACTGACAAACCAAGCCTGACTCCCCCTAAGCAACCAATCGAGGAGGTTGCTCCATATAGATCTCCTCTTCAAGATCGTCATGAAGAAATGCATTTTTGATATTCAACTAATGAAGTGACCAATGACGAATAACTGTCATGTCAAAGAATAAACAAATAGTGACCATTTTGGTCACTAGGAAAAAAATATCACTATTGTTGAAAATCCCACATCGCCTACCTCATATCATTTGGTATGGTTTAAATACATGTTAGGCTACTCCACATATTGCCAATTGGTTTTATGTTGGAACCTTAACATGGTATCAGAGCCAAAGCCTAACATCTTTCCGGTTATTGTCATGGGCCAAAAGTTGCCCTTTAGTTGGGTCAAAAGTACCCTTTGCCTGGTCCGGCAGGCTTCGTTGGAGGGGGTGTGTTGAAAATCCCACATCGCCTACCTCATATCATTTGGTATGGTTTAAATACATGTTAGGCTACTCCACATATTGCCAATTGGTTTTATGTTGGAACCTTAACAACTATAATCAAGGTCATAAATCTGAGTGTATCCTTTAGTAACTAAGCGTGTCTTGAGACGATCGACTTCACAATTTGAGCCAACTTTAATGGCATAAATCCATCGACATCCCATTATACCCAGATGGAAGGCGTATTATTCCGGTATGCTCATGAGTCTCACATCGCTTAGGAGTTGAGGTCAAGGGTAGTTTATATACACCCTTCTCTCTTAACCCACCGAGGTGCCTTTTAAGGATAAAACTGTAACGGACGAGAGTTCCAAAGCGAACAATACCTAAGACATAGAAATTGACCTTAACGATGTCATCATAGCGGACATGAGGCCAGAACACTCTTGGTCCTAAACAGAACATTGACACCCACTGTAGAACCTAAAGCAGAGTCTCGTTCCACTCATACCCATTAGTCCTTGACTGGGGGACTTATGTTTTGATATACTCATGAATCCCACATTGCTTAGAAGTTGAGGTCAATGGTAGTTTATATACACCTTCATTCCTTAACCCACCAAGGTACCTTTTAAGGACAAAACCGTGACGAACCAGAGCTCTAAAGCGGACAATACCTTAAACATAGGTATTGACACTAACGATGTTATCATAACAGACGACATGAGGTCAGGACACTCTCGTTCCAAGACAAAACATTGACGTCTACCATGGGACTGAGAGTAGAGTCTTACTCCACTTATACCCCTTAGTCCTTGATTGGGGGCTTATGTTCCGATATGCTTAGGAGTCGAGGCTAAAAGTAGTTTATATACATCCTCCTCTCTTAACCTACTGAGACACATTTTAAAAACAAAATAGTGACAAACTAGACCTCCAAAGTGGACAATACCTTGAACATTGCGGACATAAGACCAAGACATTTTTGTTTCTAGACGGAACATTGGTGTCAACCATGTGGTCAAGAACAAAATCTCACTCCACTTATACCCCTTAATCCTTAATTGGGGGACTTATGTTCCGGTACGCTCATGAATCTCACATCGCTTAGGAGTTGGGATTAATGATAGTTTACATACATCTTCATCCCATAACCCAACGAGATATCTTTTAAGGACAAAATCGTGATGGATTAGATCTCCAAAACAAACAATACCTTGGATATGGAAATTGACTCTAAAGATGTTATCATAACAGATATAAGGTCGGGGAAGGAAGAGGTACCAAGTCCCATGCGTGATTTTGGTTAAGAGCTTACATTTTGACAGTCATGGAATGTCGTCATCTAGGGTGATCATATACTTCATTTACATTTTTGGAAACAGTAATGGAAGACACCAATGATAGAAAAGAATAATAAGAAGGAGACAACTTGTGATAAGTAAAAAAATTATAAATAGGATATGGATTACGGGTAGAATGAGTATCTTTTCTGATGAAAATGAGCTTATCTGAATCATCAAGATGAAGAGTCGCAATATAAGGAGATGATGGAGAAGGATTGGAAGAAGTGGTCGCAACTTGGAGTGTCAGACGAGTCATTTGGTTCCATTGTTGGTAGGTAAAAAGAGAGGAGGTGGTGACGGTTCATTTGGATGTGTGACAAGACCCGGATTGTCTGAGGCACAAGGAGCAACTGACTTAACTAATGGGATAGGTAGTACCTCCTGGATGGAGTGAACATCTTGAACGAGATGAAGAGAAAAAGAAATTTGTTCAAAGAAAGTGACACTAGCACACACAAGGGCGAAACCAAGAATTTTAAATTAGGGGACTAACATAAAAATAAATATATTATATAAAATCATTAAAAATTATAAATCATCCACATATATTTAATATCAACATAAACATCTATAAATAAATAAATATATATATATATATATATATATGAAATCAAGTACATTTCAATTGTGCTCGACGATGTTTCATATTATAAAATCATCAATTATCACATCAGTAAGAAAATCATCTTCAATCTTATTTTGAAGTCTTGTTTTAATAATCTTCATAGCTGAAAATGCACGTTCTTGTTGTTGTCGTAGAGATAGGAAGAGTCAAATAAAGTTGAATTAATTTATCAATCAAAGGATATACATTTGATTTTCCAGTTTCCATTAATTTCTAACACAACTCTGCAATAGTAGACACATTCTAAAATTTTGGAGCTTTAGGCACATCAAATTCATAATGTTATAATTTATATGTCAATTGAATCTTCTCTTGCTCAGAAAAATTTGAAGAATAAAATTTCTCAACTAGCTTGCAAATGTTAGAAGCATTAAATTTCTTGTAATCATCTTTAGGATCCAAACTGGTGCTCAATATGAGAAACTCGATTGTGTGCTCATTGAATCTATTATTCAACTCTTTCAACTGATAATCTATCATAATAATAAATATATCAATACAATAGTGATGCTTAATTGCGACAACATCTTTTTGACAACGAGATCGAATTATATCATAGAAAGAAGCACTCATATCAAGAACTTCAATTTCTTGTTTGAAAAAAAAAAAACGCTAACAGAAGCTTGAAATCGACAAAAATAATAGAAAAAGCACAATTACATCTTGATTCAGATTTTTTTTTTAAAGATGATCTAACATGCTTGCCTAATTGACATGACTCCCATTCTAACTTTTTAGTTTTGAGAAGTATTGTCGCTGTCGTCAAAAGGGGCGGTCGGAGCGACGTAATGGTTTTGATTGACTTGCGTTTTCTAAAGAAGTGGTCAACGCTTTTAGGTTGTTCGATAACCGAGCTGGACCTAAATGTGAGATTTTCAAAAAAAGTTCTATGGAGTCGCCATCGATGTTTTTACCATAAACGTCGAAAAAGGAAGAAAAGGCGTTGGTTTTAGAAAAACCAACTTTGGCCGTAAATGTCCTTTTAAATATAATGTAATAATGTAATGATTTTGAGTTTATACTGTAAAGATTTGATATTAAGTCTCATTTTGATGGTTTAAGTTAGTTGTTTTGACGAAAAACATTTTATTTTGACGAATAAAAAGGTTTAGGATAAATCTTTTATCAAATGTTATTTGAAATAAAATAATAAAGGGGTGTTACATGATGAGCCTTTTCAGCACATTTTAATGAAATTAAACTTAATGTAGAATTTGCATTTATTGTTTGTACTCCGTTTATTTGTCTTTAAGTGTCTCTTTACGAGTTGTTTCTTTTATTTTTCTATAAAAAAACCTTTATTGGAGGAGCTACTTTCAAACATGGGAAAGAATTTTGATAACACTTTTCGTGGTCATGGTGTAGGATGTTTGATGCCTGTGGAAGATCATGGTGTAGGATGTTTGATGCCTCAACTTGGTGGAAGGAAGAAGAGTTTTTCCGTCAAGGTACACACAATATCAATGTGACATTTTTAGTTTAACTTAGGAAAACCTAAAGAATCTTCAAGGAAACTAGAAAGAGGGACCTAGTGATCGGAACAATACCAAGGAGGTCAGGAGAGTGTTGACAAAGACACGCCAAGGGGATCCGATGAGAGAAGAGTGGCGCATGGACCCCACGAGCGAGGCAAACGCATGGAAAGGTTGAGCGCATGATGGCACGTGGTTGGGAATCTCCGCCTGAGATTGGCGGTGGTTAGTGGAGTTAACTAGATGATGGTCCACGGCGAACAACAACGATGATAGTGGATTTCTTACGGGTTTAAGAGAAAAATATACCTTTGGAGGGTTTAATCACACTCTAATATGATCTCCTGTTCATAATGATAAAGTATAAATACACTGAGTAAATGAAAATTCAAGGGGATAAGAAACCTAGGTATAGATAGAGGTACAACTCTTAGATTAATAATACCAACAAAAGTAAATATTAGAAAAAGCCAAAGTGAGGGTTTTGGCAAATGTTATCTGCCTGTAAAGTGTTACAATTTAATAGGGGTGATTTTTAACGAGACCCAACGGCAGATGGAGAAGGTAACCATAAAATAGAAAAAATACTATATGACTAAAGCAGAATATATAGATAACTAGTGTTCTAGGTCCTATATTCATTCCAGAGTCCTTCACGAAAGCGTTGTTGATGCTTGCATAATATCTTTTTAAACATCTCATTTGATTGCATGATCGGCGTGAACCTTGTTCCAAGGTTCTACATTTTCATCACCGACTGACGATTCGATTTAAAACAACAATAATAATGCCAAATTATTCTTTACTTTAAATTAAGTCTTTAAGAGCTTCATATTTAAGGTTAAAATTTTCTACATATAAATACAAGATGCATATTATGCAATGGCCAACGGATAAGAGTCAACAACTACCTCTTTGATCCTCCAACTCACACTTACGCTGAAGATCTTGAAGTTTATCCCAAGCATCTAATTCATGGTACAATTCCTACAGCCACAGACAAATGGTTTTTTCAATTTCAGAAATAAACTCACATAAAAAAATTTTTTGGTTGAATAAAAAGTAGATGCCTAGAGAACTTGGCTTCGGCAAAGGAAAGTAATAGAAAATCTCGAAGATTAAGTTACTGCAAAACAGGAGTAAATATGCAGACGTAACAAAAGGTGTAGTAAATAAGACACCCTATACCTCAGATAATTTAATAAAACCACCAATTTATGTAAGTAGTATAAACGACATTCACAAGTACTTATAATAGTCCATTCCTTCCGGACAATCAAATGAAATGAGTAAAGATTAAATCTAATCAAGAAGGTATGCCTAACCATCATGTTGGTTTCATTTCTAAAACACACGCGTCATTATGAAAGTTTGGTACATATTCAATTCCAAATTTACATGGTTGTAGTTATATTCTAGGATCAAAATAGAAAACAGAATCAAAATGAATAGTTAAATCACTTAAATGTACCTATGGTTTTACCTTTTTAAATCATGATTCATATAAAAGGTATTAAGTAGGACACGGAGAAAGTGATGAAAAGAAAGAAATTCCTATGCAATTGATATGTATGCAATATAAGGTATATAGTTTGAAATCCTTCAATAATTTACCCTAGAATGAATTTCTGAAAATTACAAAAGGAAATTCTTGAATAAAGTATGTCCTGTTAGAGGATAATTACACATTCAACTGATTAACAATATTGAAGGAGGGTTTGATTAGTAAAAATTTATAAATTCAATTAACTACTTGACTTATTTTTTATGTTGCAAATACTTTTACCATAAATGCCTTTCCTTTTTGTGTTTCCTTATATTGTCAGCTTCAAAAGATACTATTACCAGTCCTCGAGCAACAGTAAGCATTTCTTAGTGACACAAGTAACACACTTACAACTGTAAAATGAACCAAAGTCATCAATCGTTGCATTATTGATCCTGCCTTGTCTCTTGACAGTATTTCAGTGTTTAATTGTCTGCTAACAGGTGGCAGTCCTTCAGTGTTTATTTGTCTGCTAATTCTAAAATTTACAAGAAAATACAACTCAGAATAAATGACGCTAAATAATGTTTTGATGATGAATGAAAGGCTAGACAAAGTGAATGAGTACAGTTTATATTCCTTCTCTAAGTAACGGTCTAAATTGTGCCACTGAGGATCCTTCAAACGATTTCCAAAGCGAATCACCTCATTAGAAAAAACTTGCAACTCCTGCCTGACAACATAATTCGAAATGACATACAGTTGATATTTAAATTTTATAGAGTCATGGTAATGCAAAACAATAAAATAGTTAGGGTCTATTTGGATAAATTTCTCCAAACACACTTGAAAAAGAAAATATGAAAAAAATGATCAAATAAATTTCTTCAAAAACTAAAATTAGCTTATGCATGAACTAATTTGTAGAAAGTTCTCTCATGTTAGATTGTTAACTTTGACATAAATTAATTTTTAGTTGTAGATGTTTATTTCATCCTTCTTTTTTCTTATTTTCTTCGCTTATAAGGGTTTATAAAGAAATCTGTCCTAATAAAGATCTTAGTTTATTGATGGTACAGAAGTCATTCTGAGTAATTTGATTTAACCAATATTATACCTCTTGTCTGCTGCAACAATCCTAAGAAGTTCATTCATATCTTCTGATATTAAACCTTGCACACACTGTGAAAGAAGCACCTCTTCTTTTAAATGCCTTATACTTTCTGCGGAAAGAGATTCCAGGAGATTAAAGCCTTTGACAATTGTGTTTGCAACCTCAAATGCTAAGATAGATATTTCATTCCCCTTAATCGCAGCTCCAGAAACAAACCCACTGCCAGCATTTAAATTTGTAATGCTGCTCCCAATGGTGTCCAAAACCTTGGCACATCCAATAGTACCAGCTCTGCCCAAGAGTAAACTCACCTCTGAGAACTGAAAATCAACACTTCTTTGGATAAACGTCTCAACAAACAACTTATGGAAAAAGTTCAATTCATTTTCTTCAAAGTTTCTCCAAACATGTCCAAGATAAAAGGCCAAATTTTAAAACTAATAATAGTTACTAATAAAAAAACGTTAAACCCAGTTACATTTAACGGTTGTTGGGTCATTCAGGGGAGACAACAATGAAAACCTTAAGGCATTAAAATTGTTGGGCCATTCACTTGGGAGAGAAAACACTAATGAAAACCTTAAGAAATTGCTTACGGATCTTTCTTCCTTTTCACTCAATTTACTCAATGGGACTTAGGCCCACACTTGCTTTCCAACAAAAATACAGTAAGTGAATGATTTGAAATCAAAATTAAAAACCAACCACCAAACCTTCGAGATTGAGATTGACTTGTGGAGAAAGCAAATATCAGCAAAGCACGGGATTCCATCATAGAAGTGTTGATCGAAAACTGTAACACGTTCTTGAACTTGCGTTTGTAGTTGGAAATTATTCTGTGTGTTTGTGGACTCAGTGCCCCTATTGACATGATGATGCCTCTTTGAATTTGAACCCCCTCCCATCTGCTACACCAAAGACTACGAGAGTTGAACCTCAACACAACGCAACACCACCGTATTCATAACCATGAATTTCCCCGTGCCACCTTCAGCTATAGATTTCTTCTCTACAAAGAATAGCTTCTGCGCAATTTCCCATTCATGGAAATTGCTCAGTAGCTGCGTTTCAAGATCACGCAAGCAAACACGCACGTTTGTTTGAAGAGTTTTTTTGTTCGTCGTCTTTTGGAAACAGTTTTTTATATATCATTGAGTTTGTAGGAAAATGTCATTTTATTTATAATAAAAATAAAAAAGAATTACAACTTGTTTTTTAGAAGAAAAGAAAAAAAAATTACACAATATAAGTCATTCATTAAAAAATATAAAAAAAATTTATATGTTTAAAATAATTAGTTATTATAAATTTATATATTATAAATTTATTATGTAGGGGGAAACACGCACGTGTGTGTAAGCCAACTTTGATATTTCAAGAAGCATTTAATGGCTAAGGGTTAAGGAAAAGGCTTTGTAGGGGGAAACATCCTTGTGTTTCCCACTCTTTTATTTTCTATCAGCAATGTTAAATGTTAAGGCCCCATTATGGTTGAGTGTTGCTATCTACCTTTCAAAACAGATTGCAACTACATTTGTTCACCATTTACAGACAAATCCACGTCTCACATTTCACATAATGTCATGAATTGTGCTAAACGACCACTTTGTGGAATTTCTTTTGGATGTAAATTTGAAAAAAATACAAAAATAGGAAACAAGAATGATTACTGCAATTAACAATAATTAACAGCAGCGATAAAAGCGCGCACGTAATAAATAAAATAGAAACAAACCACTAAAGGAAACCCAAATCGTGTGTCACTGACAAATAAGTAAACCATTATGTAAAGACATTGTAGAAAACTAAAACAGAACCAACATTTATGTATTTGGTTTTCATGTTCATTTTGAACAATTGGCGTATGCATTGTCCTTTAGCATTGCTTATTGGATTCTAGAGTCAAAACTATGCACAGACAGTAAAAGAGGACAACCAGATAAAAAGAGTAAAACATAACAATGTTCAGATAAACATTCATCGTTCCAAATCATAACAAGAAAGTAATTAGCAGGAAATGTTATGGTTCTCTTGACTTTTTGCTTTACATAATTGAGATGTGAATTAAATTATACTTGGATTTATCTTCCTATATTATCACCTGTGAGTTTAATTATAAATATTCATTTTGTTTCCTAATTAAAGAAAAAATTTAAGGGGATAATTGGGGTAGTGGCAGAGAGATGCTGATGGCCGTGGGTTACTTTTTTTATTTTTCTTTAATTATTTTTAACTGTTCAAACGGTCAAAAAATTATATTTGAAAATTAAACTAAAAAACAAATTCTGTGTAAAATCTATCCATACCCCTTGGAATGTAAAATCTTATTATTAATAGTTTTTAATAGTTTTTAATGAATCCTTCCATACCCCTTGGAATGTAAAATCTAGTCATTTCATTCAATTTTTTACTTTAGTAATCAATTTTACTGAGATCTTAAATAATTATTGTTGTTAATTTTCCTTACACAATCTCCCGTTTTTCAGATCTTCACGATTATTGTAAAATATATATATATTCTCTTTAGTTTCCCCTTTAATACAAAATATTCTTAAAAAACAGATTTTATATTTAAAATCTCACTAAAGACACTTTAGTAAATAAATTGTTACAACTTTGTAACAACAAATTATTTTGATTGTCATGCCACGCTGGTGTCTAGTAGTACCAAAAGCAAAAACTTTTTTTTTTCAAATTATGAAATAAAAAAGAAACAAGTTTAAATTCAATAGACTAAAATTAAAATAATCTAAATCTATGAAATTAAAGCATATTTTATAAGTTTAAGGGAGTTTTATTTAATTTTGTTCTTTTTTTTATGTATTACCCTTATATTTATTTTGTAAGCTTGTGGTAAGGATCTCTCCTGCCATTTCTACATGTATAACTCCCTTAATTTTATCGTGCTCTCTAGTTAGAGTTGAAATTTTATGGTCGCACAACTAATGATTGTATACATTAAATGTTGTTAATGAGAAATATAAAAAAGACGTAAATAACTGAGATGCGGAAGACTCAATTAATAAAAAATTCTTCATTCAGCAGTGAGCATGGTAGCCAAACCAAAAAGAAAAGGAAAACTGTCCAAAAGGATGGACACTATATCCTCCTGGTAATATCATAATAATATATACACTCAAGAATGAACCAGTCCATTCCGCTCCTATGCTAAGTGGGCTTTGCAGTCACATTCATTCAACCATGAATGCCTATTGTCTCAACAGTTACCTTGGTGCCATATAAAGATATCTACATCACATGGAACTTAACCCTAACGAAGCCAATGGGAATTCAAAGTACCACCAAATGTTCAGCAAAAATATGGCATTCAGCGGCAAGAATGTGGCATATGCACGCAAAGAAAACCCACTACAACTATTTCTACATGCATTATTGCTCCTTTCCATTCATTTCAAAGGCAACCAAGTAAGTATTGCAAATTTACCTTATCACATCCAGTCTGTCGATCACGTTCAAAGCTCTTTCTTTGTCAATATCAAAATCAATCAATGGAAGCTTAGACAAAAGCCGGTTAAAATATATTTCCTTGCTTTTACCTGATGAATGACTTCTACTCTTGGTCAATCTGCAGTTCTCCCTGAATCTAATATTCGCACTGCCAAAATCCAAGCTTTTACTGATCCGCCTAATTGGTATTTTCATATTTACATCCTGCAGCATGTTTTCCTCGTCCGTTGTCAACAGTGAGAATACTACATTTGTAGACTGCTCATTTGACTTTTGCAAACCAGCGCCAGCAGTCTTGATGGCAGGCCTTACATTGCCAGCATCATTGCCCGCCTTACTTCTGATGACCAAGCGATGAAGCCATAGAAGAAGTTCAAGAATATAATACTCCACTTTGTCTTTATCTGCATGGTGGAATGTCTCAACCCGCATTACACTACTCTTCCTGTTTACCTCAGAGCTTCAAGAATAAAGCAAATATTGAAAATTGGAAGTATTAAAAGCACAAACGATATAAAAAGGAAAAACGTACAAATTTCTAATTTAAAAACTTACCCTGTATTTGCCCACTCCCCTACCCAACCAAAGCCATGATGTGCTCTGAACCAATTTCAAACAACCAAAAGAAAAAGCCAAAAAAGGACTATATAGTTAGCTTATGTACGAGGTAAATAGACTGAAGATAAAAGAAAGCTTAACACATTGATAATAAGGAGCTAGTTGACAAAATGCCAGATATCTTACTTGGATGTATTAGTGGCCATGGGGGCCAACCATTGTAATGTTTTCTCCATCTCATCAGTTATATCAGCTACAGTTAACTGCAAGACTCACAGTAAATAAAACAAGAACAAAAAAAAAAAAGCCTAAGGAGATTTTCATCCTTGGTTGAAAGTGGAAAGCTGAAAACAAAAAGAAAATTTATTCTCCAAAGTTGTTGACCATTTTCCTCCTCATTCTATATATTTCTTAGAATTTTACCTTAAAATGTAACTCAACTTTACAAAATTAAATTAGCTTAAAAAGGAGAAGATTGTCCAAGTTTTATAAGTGAGGTGGAATTTCATCTTTGTAAGCAAGGTTATCATACTTGAAAAGAGTATACAAAAACTCATAAGAGCTTAGCAAACTCGACTCATAACTTACAAGAGTCTACTTTATTAAAAAAATAATATGGAGAATAGAAACAATATAATTAAGTAAAATAGAAGCAATAAATTTAGTTGTGTATGATGACTAACTATAATAAAATAAAAAAATTCATACAATATACCAACAAGATACAAGTTATTAAAGTGACAAGATAACAATTAAATAACTAAAATATCATGTCTATTTTATATGTCTCCTCCATCCAATATAAAAATTCTTCTAGTAAACAACTTTTTGTAATAATTATATTTAATTCTGTTTTTTTTTCATTATTCAAAATATCTACTCCACATTTCTACCAAACATTTATTTTATGTTCTGTAGTATTTTTACTTCAACCTATGCAGGTATTTTGACATAAAAGAAATAGAATCAGTCCCAATAATTGTCATTTTATAATTTCAGCAACTGATTCATAAAAAAAAATTGAATTAGAGAATAGAAAATCGTAACTCTGTTAAGGAAAAACAACAAATATATCATAAAAAAAATTAAAATTTAAAACGTATCAAAAAATTAAGAAAGAAAATAGAAAAAGAGAATGAATGTGAATGTGAATGTGAAGAAGAGAACCAAACAGCTATGAAACAAAGAAAAACTGAATGAATGCTAAGAAAGAAGAGAACCCCAAGCAGAACCCGCATGAAGATCAAGAGATACTAGATCACATGATAGGGAGTAGAAAAGAGGCATGGATGGAGGAGACAGACATGTCAAGCAGAGGAGAGACATGTGGGGAGTAGAGAAACGAGCAGAACAATGAACATATATAAGTTTGATGACATGTTTGATGAGGATGAGAATGATGAGATAAGTTCGAATGGAAGAGGAGAAGAAAGAAGAAACCTTACTCTCTATAAAAAATGACATGTTTCAAGTAAGCCATCTCTATCTGTCAAACTGACTCGGTGTTAAACTTGCAATTTAGCTCAAGTTTGATTGAGTTTACTCCAAGTCTGCAAGAGTTTACTAGAATATGATTCTATTCACAAGTTAATTAATGGTCAATCACTGGACTGCCAAACTTATCCACGTTAACGAGTTCACTAGTGAGTTCAATAATCATGTTCTTAAGTGTTGTCGTCTTAATGACTTTACACTATGACACTTCACTCAGCCTTTTTGATAAGCTCCATGTTGGTAACCCACCTCTTCAAACCCAAGGCCATGGCCATAGAGCATGGCAATACAAGTGGTCCAACAAAGGATCTAAGTTATGTTTCAATACCATCTTAGAATTAAGACCTTACTCAATTTTACAAAAACAACTTGTGAGATGAACATTGTTTGGCAACCTTTGTGAATTGTAAGTAGTTCTCAAGCCTTATCTTAATGTAGGATCTCAACCGCCTTAGAGAACCTCCTGCTGTGGGCTCGAGGCAGTGTATGTTTCAACCTAAAGTTTTTGTCTCTTGTAAACTTTCAACTTATTTCTTTGTGGGTTTTTTTTAACAAGGTGGTTATAATAGAAAGTAGCAACAGGATATCATACCTCTTCTACAACACAAAGGGATGGTAATTTGGAGCGCAGAGCTAATTTCATATTAGGAGGCAAGCTGTGATATAATGCATCCTTTGTATTTGTAGGCACAGAGGACCTAGCAACCTGAAAGTGTCAACAGTCAACACCAAATCAGAACAATATTATTCAATGCATTAAGGGTTTAGGGAAACTCAACCAAACTCAATATTAGTCCACACCTGCAATTTTTTTTTTTATCATTAATATTAAGAGGGAAACTCAACCATGAATCAGTAGTAAGGGTAAGCATTTACTATATAAATTTGGCTACCATTGACATCAGACATTTTTTATAGACAATTCCATGGGCTTAAGTTTCTATTACTAATTGTCTCTCAGGTTGTTACACAATCTGTTGTCAATGGCAGCCAAATTTATATAGTAAATGCTTACCCTTTCTACTGATTCATGGTTGAGTTTCCCTCTTAATATTAATGATAAAAAAATTGCAGTCGCATACAAACATCCAATTGCATAAATCTGAAGTTAATGGTAGGGAAGTTGCAGAGAAGTATTACAGAAGAAATCGTAGTAAATATCTTACAAATATATTTGATAATATCTCATTATTTTCCTATCTCCTTTTTTATGTTATTTACTATTTCACTTAATAGGGTTATTATTCTTAGCCATGAGGAGATTAGTGCTTGTATTCAAAACACAGAAAGGTAAATGCTGTTTTACTATACTAGTCAAGTGAAATTCAATACTTAAAGGCAACAAAAGAAGCAACTATAGAAACTCAATTAATTTTCACCAGCTTCAAGTTAAGGAAAAAACAAAAGAAAAAAGACATGGAATATTGAAGTAAATACAATGAAGATTAACTCACAATAGTATCAATTTGAAGCACTATATTAGCATAATGCAAAGCAAGGCCTGCAGGGCCCAGTCTTTGGCGATTGCTCGTGTGTCCAGTTAATGGTTTGTGGCTATCTGCAAGGGACCCATTCATAAACAATATTACAGGTATGTAGAGTATAGATCTCATTTCAAGCTGATTTCAACAGTAATTTGATAGGAACACAAGCTGATATTTAATACATTAAGTGGCACAGAACAGCATTACAAATCAAGTGAGCAGACATAATCTAATGGAATTTAGTGGATATAAACCTGTATTGCCAAAGGCATTTCCTATCTCCAAATGCAAAAAATGGACAATATCTACAAGCTTCTCCATAACCTGTAATTCATTACATTAAATTACATTCAACCTTTGTCAGTTCTCTATTTGTGATATGCACAAGATGAACCCACATCTGTAAATAAAAATGATTTCTCTACACTACATTTGGCATTACACATGGATCCGGTACAATGACAGTCTATATGAGGATAAAACAAACCAGGAGGAGGATACTGAGGACAAGAAATCAAATTGAGCAAATAAGCAATTTGATATTACCTCCTCCAAACTTCTAGACCAGAGTGATTTTTTCTTTAAATGTCTAACTTGCTTCTTTTGACTTTTAATTTCCGCCCTCAAGAATGCAATGCCATCACCTATATGATAGAGATATACTGAAGCTCAAAAGTATATCTATAAGAGGCTACACAAATAAATACTGCTCAATATACTGAAAGGTCAAACTTCTGAATCAGAGTGACTTTTTCTTCAAAATGTTTAGGCCCGAAGATTACTTTGTCAATAACATAGTGAAGAAGGGAAAATTTTAGAGAAACAAAATCAAAGTAGGGGTTATCAAAATGTTACAGTTAAACAGGGATGATTTTCAATGAGACCCACAATGGCAAATGGAGTCATTCAGAACAGAATAGCAAAATCATAAAAAAAAGGACACAGCTAAAGCAGAATATAGATAGCTAGTATTCAACCTCTATTCATTTCAGAGTCCTTGAAGAAAGAATCGTTGATGCTAGCATATATCTTTTCAAACATCTTAATCGAAACCAATTACATGATCAGTGTAAACCTTGTCCCAAGGTTCCACAAATTTACCACCATGTGAATGATTGTTCTATTTGAAGAAAATGATAATGATCATACCAAAAGTCGATCCTCATGTTAAACTAAAACTCTTCAATAAATTCATATTAGGCTAATTGCTAGCTAAAATTGAAAAAAAAAAGGATGAAATGTACTCATAGCTCATGGGTAACATTCCATAATTACCCTTATCATCATCATCCTCAAACTTCCGCTGCACATCTTGTTCAAATCTATCCAAAGCATGTAGTTCATGGTACAACTCCTGCAGCCACGGAAAATTAATATTCCAATTTCATTAATAAACAAAACCCCACATGAAAAAATAACTACATTGTATAAAAAGCAAAAATGCATGGAGCACTTTGGCTTCGGCGATGGCAAGATAATAGAAAACCTTGGACATAAAGGAACTGCAAAATGGGAGCAAATGAGCAGATGCTAAAAAGGTGTAATAAATAAGACACACACCTCAGGTAATTTAATAAAACTATAGATTGTATATAGGTATGTACAATACAACATTTCATATAATAGTTGGTTCCTTCAAATGAATAAAAATAAAATCTAACCAGGAAGAAGCGGTACCTACCCATCATATTCATTTCATTTAAATAACATTGATGTCTTTTTTAAATTATGGTACATATTCAATGCCAATTTTACAGTATTGGATGTACTTGAGATAAATAAAATAGAAATGAGACACATTTGAGAGACTTAATAACACCTTTCTTATGATCTCTTACTTATAATGACAAAATAATGATAGAATGAGTAGAGGAAGCTCAAAGGTCAAAAGCCAGAACTAGAAACCTAGGTACAGCTTAAAGGTACAACATGCAACAACTTTTTTCATACAACTACTTTCTTCCTATATTTAATACCTATTCTAATACTTCCCATCATGCTAAAACATACAAATTGTGTGTACCAGACTTTGAACAAATAAATTCAATCCGGCATCCCCTTAAGGACTTTGTTAACATAACATAAGTTGACCATTGGATTTAACAAACTCAGTATAAATTCCCTTTGACGATAACTTTTCCCAAATGAAAAGACAATCAATTTCAATGAGTTTATTTCTCTCATGAAATACTAGATTGGAAGTAATGTGAAGAGCAAGTTCATTATGACAATACATCTTCATTGTCTAGATCTCATAAAAGTTAAGCTCTTGAAAGAATTGTTTCACCCATACAAGTTCGCAATGAACGTCATTGTCCTATATTCAACTTCAACAGTTGATCGGGCCACTATATTTTGTCTCTTACTTTTTCAAGAAATAATATTTCTTCTAAGGAAAACACAATATCTTACTATAAAGTGTCTTTTAGTAAGGAATCTTGCCCAATCAACATCACAATCCTAGAGCTTTTTTAAGGTATCTTAAGATATGAATGATAGCATTTGAATGGTCTGGTACAAGGAGTCTGCAAGAATTGAATAACAACACCAACTATAAAAGACAAATCAGGTCTAATAATAGTAAATTAGATAAATTTTCCAATAAATCTTCTATATCTTTTTAGATCAGAGACCAATTTACCTAAGATAAGTTTGATTTGGGTCCATAGGACCGTATACTAGTCTAGAGTCAATCATATCTATCTCTCGTAAGATATCTAGAACATACTTCCTTTGAGAGATTACAACACCTTTTGATTGAGTTACTTTAATACCCAAGAATTATTTAAGGCTCCCAAGATCCTTGATTTAGAAATGTTTGCACAAGTGTTCCATTAGTTGAGATATTCTAACAATATCATTCCTATAATAACATATTGTCAACATATACTATTAAGTAAACATATTTACTAGGAGAGGTATGATAGTAAAAGACTGAATGATCTATTTCACTACACTTGATATTCAAAAACAGAGAAAAAGTGTTTTTAGAGGGCTTAAAGAACCCCTCTCATAGTTCTCTATTTATATAGATAAAAACTGATACAATAGGGAGATTACATTAAATGCACAGTCCTAGATTACTCCTCAGAACTAGGTGCAGAGATTATCTAACACTCAACCCCCTATAGAGATTATCTAACACTCAACCTCCTACCTTAGGTATAATGATTACATATTCCAACATTCCCCCTCAAGCTGGAGCATACAAGTTGTATGTACCAAACTTGGAACAAATGAACTCAATCCGAGGTCCCCTTAAGGACTTGGTAAACACATCTGCGAGTTGGTCATTTGATCCAACAAACTCGGTACATATTTCTTTTGTCAACAACTTTTCACGAACAAAGTGACAATCAATTTCTATATGTTTAGTTCTCTCATGAAATACGGGATTTGATGCAATGTGGAGAGCAGCTTGATTATCACAATACATCTTCATAGTCTGGATATCACAGAAGTTAAGCTCTTGAATGAACTGCTTCACCCATATAAGTTCATAAGTTAGTGACGCCATTGCCCTATATTCGGCTTCAGCTGTCGATCGAGCCATTACATTTTGTTTCTTACTTTTCCATGAAATAATGTTTCCTCCAAGGAAGACACAATATCCAGTGGTAGACTGTCTATCAACAAGTGAACCTGCCCAATCTGCACCACAGTACCCAGTGACCTGAATGCTTCCTTTATCTTCACATAACAATCCTTGTTCGGGAGCCTTTTTAAGGTCCCTTAGAATGCGAATGATAGCATTCCAATGACCAGCACATGGAGCCTACATGAACTAACTAACCACTCCAACAACAAAAGATAGATCAGGCCTTGTAATAGTGAGATAAATCAGTTTTCCGACCTCTGGATCAGAGAATACTTCACCTTCTTCTGTTGTTAATTTCTTATTTGGGTCCATAGGACTCTCTACAGGTCTACAGTCAATCATACATGTTTCTTGTAATATATCAAGAGCATATTTTCTCTGAGAGATTACAACTCCATCTTTTGATTGAGCTACTTCAATGCCCAAGAAGTATTTTAGGCTTCCCAAATCCTTGGTTTGAAAATGTCTGCACAAGTACTCCTTTAGTTGAGATATTCCAACAGTATCATTTCCTGTAATGACTATATCATCAACATATACTATTAAGTAAACACATTTACCCAAAGATGTATGACAATAAAAGACTGAATGATCTACTTCACTACGTCTTAGCCCAAATTTTTGAACAATGGAGCTAAATTTTCCAAACCAAGCACATGGTGATTGCTTGAGGCCATATAGAGAACGATGCAATTTGCATACCAGTTTAGACTCCCCCTAAGCAAAAAACCCAGGAGGTTGCTCCATGTAAATTTCGTCCTCAAGATCACCATGTAGGAAGGCATTTTTGATATCTAATTGATGAAGTGGCCAGTGACGAATGGCAGCCATTGCGAAGAACAGATGAATAGTGGTCATCTTGGCCACGGGAGAGAAAGTGTCACAATAATCAAGGCCATAAACCTGAGTGTACCCTTTTGCAACTAACTGAGCCTTGAGCCGATCAACTGCACCATCAGGGCCGATTTTAACAGCATATATCCGGCGGCAACCAACTGCCTTTTTGCCCGGTGGAAGGGAAACGAGCTCCCAAGTAGCATTATGGTCAAGAGCATGCATTTCTGCAATAATGGCTTGTCGCCATCCAGGGTGATCAAGTGCTTCTTCCACATTTCTTGGAATAGCAATAGAAGATACTGAGGATAAAAGGGAACAATAGGAAGGGAACAATATGAAATGAAGATTTGTTGGAAAGTAAATGGATGAGAACAAAGAGGTATTACTAGAAATATGAGCAGAAGCGCCTAAGTCAATTATCCATGGACTTCGACGCTCCATGGATTGTGAGATGCAAATTGTTGACGAGCTAAATTTTGTTGATGATTGTGTCAAGATATTAGATTTCAAATTCAGATATTCTTGGTATTCTTCATTAGAGAATTTGGATTCAACAGCTTCAGCTTTAGGGATATTGGCAATCTTAAGTTTTCTTGAACATAACACATTTTCTTACTGTATGCGCATTGAGAATGTCCCCAACCACCTCATCCTCCTTTAACATTACGTCCTCCTAAAATCATTCTTGAAATATGATAGAGACAAGAATAGAGGAAAATAGTCTTGTGAAAAGATAAAGACTACAGGAGAGAAATCCTAACAGCCAAACAATAGCAAAACAGCACCAAACAATATCGACAAAATACAGAACAGTGTGAAACAGTACCAGAACCAGTGTTGAACAGTACTCAAATAGTGTGAAACAGTACTGGGCAGTACCAAAATAGTGCAGAACAGTACCAGAACAATGTGCATCAATGTGGAATAGTATGCAGCAATGTAGAAGTTGACGGCAAACAATGGCAGACAGTGGCAGACAACTGCAAATTGCAGCAGACAGCAAAAGACAATTGCAGACGAAGGTGGACAAGGGCATGGTGACCAAACAATGGTAGACAGAGGTGGATATCTGCAGATGGTGACAAAACAACAGTGGAAAACTGCGGACGGTGGCGGAAACAATGGCAGCAGATAATAACCACACTGGTGGCATATAAGACAGACATGCACAGTGGGATCGACCCTCTGACACCAACTTGAGATAAATAAAATAGAATAAAGATATATTTGAGACACTTAATCACACATTTAAAAGATCTCTTATTTACAATAATAGAATACTGATGCAGTGCGTAAAGGAGGGAAAATCAAAGGTCAAAAGGCTGAACTAAAAACCTAAGTACGGAGATGGATACAACTCATAGGTACAACATGAAACAACTTTTTAGTACAACTACTCTATACCTATATTTAATACCTAGTCTATCTGATGTTTTATTTAAGGGTGACAACAGAAATCAGAATCAGAACGAATTGTTAAATGTACCTACAGATTACTATGGAACTATTGCTGATGAACTAAATTCCTCCTTTATATATCTTTGAGTAAAATCATGACAAAAGCTATTGAGTAGGAGACAAAGTAAGTGATGGAAAGAACAAAAACTCCACACAACTGATTCGTAATACAAAAGAAGATACAGTAGTTCAAAAATCCAAAAAAAAAAAAAAAAAAAAACCTATAATACATTTACAGAAGAATTACAAAACAGAATTATAGGTTAAAGTATTCCTATTTAGGAAAAATCTCTCACATAACTGGTTAACAATAATGAAAGAGTGATTTAATGAGTAATCATTTATAAACTTGATTAACCCTTGTGTTAACTGTTCTTAATTTATATATTTTTACCAACAATTCCCTTTTTCTAATTTTCCTATATTTTCAGCTTCAAAAGTTACTATCAGTCCTCAAGCAACACTAAGCATTTTCTTTAGTGACACAGGGAATACACTCACAGCTGTAAACTGAACCAAAGTCATCAATTGTTGCATTATTGATTCTGCCTCATCCCTTGACGGTCTTTGAGCGTTCAATTCTCCACTAACCCTAAAATTTACAAATAAAATATAGCTCAGATAAATACAAGAAAGGATAAATATTTGTTTGAAGATGAATGAAAGGCTTGTCGAATTGAGTAAGTACAATTTATATTACTTCTCAAAGTAACGGTCTAAGTTGTGCCACTGAGGATTCTTTGAACGATTTCCAAAACGAATCACCTCATCAGAAAAAACTTTTAACTCCTGCCTGACAACATAATCCAAAACTATATACAGTTGATATTATAATTTTACAGTCGTGGTAATACAAAAAAAACAAAAAAAATAGTTAACTTATTCATGGCACTGAAGCATACTTGGAAAATTGATTTAATCCATATTTACCTCTTGTCTGCTGCAACAATCCGAAGAAGTTCATCCATATCCTTTGATACCAAATCTTGCACAGGATGTGAAAGAAGTACCTCTTCTTTTAAATGCGTAATACTTTTAGTGGAAAGAGATTGCAGAAGATTAAAACCTTTGACAATTGTGTTTGCAACCTCAAAGGCCAAGATAGAAATTTCATTTCCCTTAATTGCAGCTCCAGAAACAAATCCACTGCTAGCATTTAAATTTGTCATGCTGCTCCCGAGAGTGTCCAAAACCTCTACTGCTTTCTCAAATCCAATAGCAATTCCAGTAGTACCAGCTTTGCCCAAGCGTGAACTCACCTCTGAGACCTGAAACAGAAAAAGCTCAAAAGATATTTTCATTTTCTCCAGCATTATTCCATTTAAGCAGGAGCAAATGAATGGTTTTGTACATGCTCCCTTGCCCAAAAGCCTTTTGGACTATGCATGGAAAATGCACACAAGCCCATCTATCTTTTCTTATATCTGAAACAATGCCTACTGGAATCCAATGCCCTTGGATAATTTCCCTTTCTAGAACAGAAAACCTATCGTCAAGCCTCGAGTACATAAATACAACCATAAACAAGATAAACAACACAATTCTAAAACTCCTAATCACTTACAACAAACAAACAAAAACCTAATCCGCAATCACAAACCTTATTTCCAAATTATACAAGTTACAAAAATATTTACTAGTATTATCTACTCAAATCTTATCTTCAACAACCTTCAGTGAAAAACAACTTTGCCTCACCTTTGTGAACTAACGGCCCTACGTGCAAGACAGAATCCCAGACAAAACCATCAACAACGACTCAAACAAGCTACTACATCACTCCATTTCATACATATTAATTCACAGCAGAGAAACGGTTTATTTAACCTTTGACCTAGGCTTGGGAGGCAAGGAGTCCTTGGGGAACTGCGGGATTCCGTCATAGAACTCTTCCTCAACAGCGAAAGAAGCTCCACCGTTAGTTCGAGAAGGTTCGGGAAGATTCCTCTCCATCCTCTGAGGCACGGCGGAGAAAACAGCGGCCCCGTCGTTAGAAGGCTTATTCTCAGCAGCAGCAGCAGCAGCAGCAGCAGCAACAGAATCGGCGTTGACAAAAACTCGGTCGTCCTCGGCGGAGCGCGAACAAAGCCCTCCCATGACTTGCGACAACCACACCAAGAATTCAATCTTGGAATCCGAAGCCCCTGCCATATCGTAGTTCCCCTAAGATCGCAACGCTCACTGATTTTTGGTCATTGGGATTAGTTGATGGCAGTAATCAATAGTAAAAACGATAAACAATGAAAGGAGAATAGAGAAGAAATGTCGTTAAGGTCTATGAGTAAACTAATAGACGAATTCCTAGAGGGAAGAAAAAGAAGAACAGGACAGAAAGACAAGAGACTGGGTGATGACCGACTCTACCTCTGGGGTGTAAGGGCCAAAAAGTCCATTTCTCTTATTGGTCCTCATTATTTTTCTTTTTCTGTCTGTCTTAAAATTTTATATTACTTATAAAAATATATAATTTTATACTCTAATTTAGATTATTAATAATGATATAGGTTAAATAAGATAATAATGATGGAAAATAGAAAAGTCGGGGTAAGATATTAAAATTGGAGAAAATTACTAGAAATTTTGAATAATTTTTAAATATATAATATTTTAATAAAATAATTATTATTTTTTTAAAATAATTGTTGATGACAATTTTTTATTTTTTTATGTGATGTAGTCTTTTGAGGGTTGACTATTATCCATTCGGTCCAACCATGTGTGAGTATGAGAATGGGGCAGTTGTACAGTACGTCACCGTAGCGTATAGACTAGGCCTTAAGAAATGTGACTTGTTAACGTTCAATGTACAATACATTTTACGGGACATAATTCCTAATTTTTCGTTTCCTTGGATCTAGTTATGTTTTTAGAAGAAAAATAAATAAATAAATAAGAAGATGGATTTATAGAGAAAATAATGTAATTTAAATTTGATGATTTGTATAAAAAGTTGGGTGGATCTACGTTAACCCCTACAATAGAAACGGTTTATGAAAAAAAAAAGAAAGTTAGATACAATATTGTAAATATCTTTGTTATCTCTTAATTATTATTATATAAAATAAATAAGCATAATTGATTATAAAAGAGAGAATATTTCGTTACACGTTAATACATAATTATGTAATTGAACATTGATTATCTCTCCTCTATATAACATAATCAATATTATTTAAATTATGTAACATACAAAATGCAAATTAATTATAATTTAATTACAAACATCAATTTTGTTACTCAAATAAATACAACTCTCTTATTTCTATTAAAAATAATACTAGAGGATACATAAAAAACATTATTAAAATATGATTTAATTAAATATAATGGTGACATTAATTATTTATGTATAATATTTTTTTAATTTTACAATATAAAACTTATATTAATAATTAAATTCTTATAATTATAATAATTAAAATTTTAATTTTGAAATTGGAATAAAATTATTTTAATTAATTATATTTTTTAAATTAAATGAAATTAATTTATTATTTATTTTGTTAATATTTTTAATTTATTTTATATTCAAATAATTGTCAAGTTGAAAAAAAGGTGATAAAGAATAATTTTGTAAGAAATATTTAAAAAATATATAAAAAGAGTCTAGTGCTACAATAAAAATTTAATTAATCATAATGGATTATTTAAGTTTTCAGATTTAACATATGTTGGAATTTCTTTTCACTCTCAATTTATGCATTATTTTTTACTCTTAATATTATATTTCTATGTTTTAAGTTTTATATATTTATATTTTTTTTATAATTTTTCCAACCCACTTAATAATGTTTTATATTTTATTTTAAATTATAATATTTTTTTATTTATGTACATGACAAAAATAAATTTGACAAATTTAGAAAAATACTAAATTATTATATTTTGTCAAAATCGGTAAATTTATAAAAATCGTAAATAATCAGTCAAATTAAATTTTATCATATCTAATTTTAAAAATTTATTTCAATATTATTTAATTATTGTATTTAATGTAAAATAAAAATTTTAAAAATGTACGATAACTTATAAATTATGATTAAAATAATACAATTTTATTTTGTTAAATATCCATTCAAAATATCAAAAATTATAAATATATAATTTAAACTAAAACGAAAAATATTTTATACTTAATATATTAAATAATTTTAATTATACTTAATATATAAAATAATATTAATATATTTAAATATTATGTATAATATAAATTAATTAAAATTCGTATATTCAATTATATCATAATTATCGTTTTTACTTAATATATCAATTTCAATAAGGATATTTTGGTCAATACACTAAAAAACTATTATTCAATATTTTTTTATATTCAATTACATCAATCATATAAGTTACAATAAAATTCACTCAAATCCCTTCAAATTTACTACCTTTCTCTCAATCCAAACAACCTCACCATCCACCCCAAAATCACCTTAAATTTACTCCCTCAAATCTTCACCTCAATCCAAAGACAATGTTACTATGTTATGAAACTTCATTTCACTAAGTTTTGTTTTTCCTTCAAACAGATCAATGTCTTGATTTCGCATTGAATTTATTCAAATTTTTATTTAATTTTTAAAAAATACATCTTTTTTATTTTGAAAATGATTTTTTGACACCCAAAATCAAATGACAACCCAAGGATTAAAAGGTGAATTTATTAAAAGCTAGGGTTCAATTTGCAATTTGGAAGAGTGAAACACACAATAATGAGATAAGTGAGGGAGTCATTTGTCAATGTTGCACAAGGTGAAAGTGAGGTGGAGACCAAGAGAGTCATTTTCTTGCATGATTTTTTCACCCTTTCAAGGTTTAAGCTATCCACAGTTGCAAAAGTCTCCGGTAGCTTGGTCATTGATGTGACTGATTTTCAACACATCTAAAATGGCTAATAATGTTATGTTATTGTTTATAATGTGTTAACAAAGCTTAATTAACCATGATTTGTATTATTAGGCCTTTGGAAGTCTTAATACAAAACTTTGCATAAAAATAGTAAATTAGCCATATTTTATTGTATATGGGTACTAACAATGATTCACTGTTTTATTTATCATTTTTTTTCTTTCTACAGAGCTCCTAAAATTATGATTCTGGAAGTATTGTAAACTAGACACATTCAATTTTCCAGAGGATCTAGAACCATTTAATTTGGAGCTAAATTGGATTTTACATAAACTATCAAAGAGGGGTTAAGCGCACCAGGTTTGGCCCAATGGACATGCTTTAGTAATTTAAGTCTCCTAAATTCACTAGACCTCCTAAAATAGTAGAAATGGTGGAATTTTAAAGCTAACTCAAAAAGCTTTCAAAGGAGACTGAAATCGTTTAATTTGGATAAGTATTACAAATAATGCACGTGTTTGAAGTTCGAGCTCCCTCTCAAATTATTAGATCACCTACGATTCTAAGCTTTGTATTATGTAATTGAACATTAGCTAGAGTATAAATAGGATTAACTTAATGTCATAAACAAGTTGAAGTTTCAGAATTCAGATCTAAATCAATTTGTTTCATTTTCTCTCAAGTTCTCTCTCACACACCATGGGTCCTTCTCTACTTGTGACGCATGCTTTCATGTATGTTCTTCATTTCTGTCATTGTTCTTCTTATTTTGGATATGGATCTTCTTCTTCCACCATCCTTTATTACTTGCTTTAATGCTTTCATGATTTAGAATAGTTCTTACCGAAATTATGCTCCAGGATTTGCGTTATTGCTTTCTTTAAGTTTCATGCACTTTATAATGCCTTCTTTATGATTTCTACCAATTATATGCTTTGAAACCTGGCTATTTATGAGTTCTAATTGGGGAGGGAAGGTTTTTTTCAACTGGACAAAAGTGTAGGTCACTCAAAGGTCTTTTGAGGGGTGAGTTAATTAGGATTCACCCACGGTTTATGCTTTAAGAAGGTTGTAGCACTTTCAAACTAATTCTAAGTCACTTGCAACCACGTTAGGTAGATTTTAATGTTTTGATTTACTACTTTAATGTCTCTTTAATTGCTTTAGATCCTTAGTTTTAGGTCTGGATAGATTTATGGCATTGTTAGATTTACTTTCATGCACTAGCTTAGTGTAGAATAGCCTAGGTGCTTTGATTTTGACTTTCGGATCGGTGTAACTGTTCATATAGGTCAGATTTGTGATTCTGCACATTTTCATCCATTTTGCATTCTGTATTATTTTCATTCATTACATATTAGATTTTAACCCCATTTTAGTTCATTTTATCATTATATATTTCATTCATTCACTCTTCATTGAATCATTCATAGCTCATTCACCTATTTTCACTACTTCCTTGGATTGATACACTGGTTCCCATTATACTACATTCTTATTATTTTAGGGGAACTTATTTGAACCTTCACATTGCGACAAAAGTGAAGCTCTTCGATCATCTTTGGCACAATGTCAAGGAAGCAAGAGTGTGCACAGTGACAAGGAAACAGTCGCTAGATTTGTCAAGCCCTTGAAGTCCTTCCCCAACAGCGACAGTCTTCGATGTCGTAGTCGTCTCCAACATTGTATCACAGAAGCATGAGTGTGCACAATGTGAAGGAAGCACAGTTGTTGGATTTGTGAAGCCTTTCCCTTGTTTGTCTCTAGCAGTGTGGTTGTCTCTGACATCGTTTCAGCAATGGTGTTCTCTACCCTAGTGTTTTCGATCATTCCCAGTTATTAACTCCCTTTTGCATTCTTGCTATTGCCGGTCATTTCCTCAATGTTTTGGTTTTGTTATAGTTCTCTTTGAGTATTTTGTACAGTTCTATGTCCCTCTTTATTATATTGGTTTTGATGTTGTACAAATTGTGTGTTGGATGATAAACCTGACATTAGTGCTAAACCTATGTATTGAGCTTTTAAAATTATTGTCTTTGGATGTTTGATGTTGTATGAATAATGTCTTGGATGATAAACTTGACATTGGTGTTAAACCTCTGTATTGGGTTTTGATATGGTGTTATTTGGACATTTGATGTTGTATGAATTATGTCTTTGTTGATGAAATTAGACTATATGGGATTTGAATTAGGAAAAGAGTAATGAAACTAAAAGAATGAAACCATATAAAAGAGTAATGATTGTTTGGTGTTTAGTAAAAATTTAAGAGTAAATGCATTATTGTTGGAATTTGAATAGAACTAGCTAAAAAAAAAGTAGGGAATGACTATTTGGTGGCCTATATTATGGTAACAATCCAACAAACATGTATGTCACTTTACATGCATTAGAAAATGTCTTTAGAGCTAATGGTCTTAGCCTTTAGTATGATCCTCTGAGCCAAGTTATGGGTAGGCCTCTTTAGCATTTGTTGTTGGTTGCTAATCATAAAGTCCTTGTATACCACTTGTCCATGCAGTTTGGAACTTGTTGCTCTTCATTTGACTAGTGAGACAACCAATAAGTTTGTTTAAGAAGAGGAGCGTAAAAAATCTAGGCTTGTAAAGTTAGTTTAGGTTCTTATTGTTTATGTATTGGTTATTGTAGCCTTATATTGTTAGAAATGTAAGCTGAGATCAAGAGGAAGGGTGAATTGATCTTTGAAAGTTTTTCGTACTTTTAAGAATACAAATTATCTATTTCAAAGATTATGAATTTTGCTCAAGTTTTGAACCAAGAAAAACAAGCAGTTATATGTAATGCACAAGCAGAATAAAAGAGAGTAAAGCTTTAGAGAAAGGCACACAAGATTTATACTAGTTCACCCAAACTACAGGGCTACATCTAGTTCTCAACCAAATTCCAGTTGAGTTCCACTAGATTGATTATGTTTCTGATTACAAACCCGAATGATAAAACATCTAATCCACACCAAGAACCAAATTCTAGTTCTTGCAACAAACCTTCACTAAGAACCAAGTTTCAGTTCTTGAACCAAACTGCAGCCAAATTCCAGCTACAGAACCAGTGTCCAACACTTCCAGACACCCATAATACAATAAAGAATTGAAAAGAACAAGGAGAAGAAACTAGAACAATCAAACCCGGATTATGCAGCTTTTGCAGAATAAGTTTTTTCACAAGTAAGAATGCAAAAATTCCTCATGAATTGAAAACTTCAGAAAAGTGGTGCGCTTCTTTCTTGAAAAAACTTTCTCTAATGATTGCTTGATTGATTACTCAAAGGTATTTTTTAAACGTTGAAGCAATCTTGCTTATATAGAGTCATTTTCCAACTAACTGGTTTAATTAATCAATTACAAACTTCTCTTAATCGATTGTTAATTCTTGATTAATCGATTAAAACTTCTTTTAATCGGTTAAAATGTGTTTAATTATTTTTCAGATTTATTTTAACTGATACGACTACGTTTTAATCGATTAAAACAATTATACAAAAATTTCTTAAGTTGTTTTAACCGATTGATTCGCAATTTAATCTATTATAATTTTGTCATAAGATTTCTCAAAACTTTATAAGTGATTTTAACTGATAAGAGCTTTCGTTTAATCGATTAAAATTGTTAACAAAAATTCCTTAAGTTGTTTTAATCGATTAATTCAATGTTACATCGATTAAATACTACCATATGATGAGTCATTATATTCTCATATTTTCTTACCTTTCTATACTTATTTTAATTAGTGTTTTGGGCTTAACTTGCTGTTATTAGTGAATTTTTATTAATTGGACTTCATTGGGCCAATAATTTAGATTTTAATTAATTTGGATCTATTTGATCTAATTTTTGCTCATTATTATTTTCAGTACAGTTTAAAGCAATTTTGGGTTTGGAAGATTGGGTCAAATGCCATATTTTATTCTATACAGTTTAAAGCAATTTTGGGCTTGGAAGATTGGGTCAGATGTCATGCCAACTATCCATTAGAATCAGTTTTTTTTTGTTTTTTTTTATGATGTGTTTTGTGGGCCAGTTGGACCCATACCTAGATTAAGATTAGAGTTAGGGTTATCTATATAAAGGAGAGGCAGCCACACATCAAAGACACTAAGGAAATATGCGCAGCCGCATCGCACAACTGACCTTTGCCTAGTGAGAAGGAAATATCTCGAGCTACGACACTCCAAATTAGACGATTTAAAGTGCGTTGTAAAGATAAGAGGAAAGGATACAATTGTCTCTCTCAGGAGCATTGTTAAATTCCAACCGGAAGGTGGCAAAAATTGAAGTAAAAAATTCACTACGGAATCTGCCCTGTATATGTCTCTTCTTCTGCGTTTTCGATTTTCCATGGATAGTTAAATCTTTATATTGATTTTCTGATGAGAATGCAGTAGATCTTTGAGGTTTTGTTCTTCTATTTTTTTTTTCTCTTAACTCTTCATCTTCTAATCTCAGTGTTGAATTATAATCTGTTTATGCTTAATAAATTGAAACTAATATCACAGTTTTCTTAATTCTGTGTTAGAGATGAGATTATGTGATGTATGCAATGCTTAATTGTATAAGGATAATTTGGGGTTAATCTTCGCTTAGTTGATTAATTTCATATTGGAATAAGGGTTAAAACTAATTTGGGATTAATCTTCGCTTAGTTGGTTAATTTCATATTAGAATATGGGTTAAAGCTAATTTGGGATTAATATTCACTTAGTTGATTAATTTTGAATTGAAATACAATTTGGGATTTATCTTCACTTAGTTGGTTAATTTCAAATTAATTTCATAACCTAGGATAAGTGACACTGCATTGGAATTAGGAAATCAATTGCATTCTAATATATTTTTAATCCGCATTTTTATAATCTATTTTTGTTTTGGTTCATCTCATATTTTAAATCTAAAAAATCCCCCGTTTCTTTCTATTTTAATTCGAAAAATTAATAAGCTTTGATAGAAATTTGTGGTCTTTGGGAGACAACCTAGGAAAACTTCCTAGTACTACATTTATTTGTTTTAATTATTTGACTGAGTACAACATCGATCACTAGAGCACTTTTCAAAGCATCTCAAGTGATTTTAATCGATTATTTTGAAGTTATATCGATTAAAATACTGACAGAACACTTTTCAAAACATCTCAAGTGATTTTAATTGATTATTTCGAAGTTATATCAGTTAAAATTTTGACAAAAGGTTTTCAAACACTTCTTTAATGAAAATAATCGATTAATTCGATTGTGCATCGATTAAAACAGCGTCAATGTATGTTTTAAATGGTTTTAATTAATTATTTCAAAAACATATCAGTTAAAACTTTGTCAGGAATGTTTCCAGCTGTAGTCTTAAGAACATATTAATCAATTAAACTGGTTTTTAACGGATTAAAATGCTTAGAGGCATTTTCAATTTGTTTCAAATGATGAACTCTTATGCAGCAGAGAAGAATGAATTATTATACCTATTAATATTGATGCAGACTCACTAATCACTCTACTCGTTAACCCAAGGAACTTTTGACTTCATCAAATCTTCAAGATCTTCATTCTATCATAAGGTTCAATAAGATCTTCATTACCTTCATATATTACCAGACACCATTCAATATTTATTTGAAAAGGATGTTAGTTTAGGTTATTTATTGACTACATTAAAATTGTTTAGTATTTTGTCATTGTAAGGTTAATTTTATTTATTTTAGGGATGGCAAAACGGGTCAGTCTGTCCTGTGTTGGTCCATCCCGCCTTTGGCCCGCAAAAAGCGGGGCGGGGCGGGATGACCCGTTATAGTCACGACTGGCTGTAGACCTTGGCCCGCCCCGCTAAGGGGCGGGTTGGCGGGCTGACCCGCCATAATTTAGAAAAAAATAATTTATTTTTTAAAATAATTTTTTTAATAAATTTAATAATAAGATTATTATTTGTTTGTCAATAATTCAATATATATATATATATATATATATATATATATATTATTTCAATTTAATAATATAAATTAATACATTGTTTTAAGAAATTATAATTTTAGAACAATAATAAAATTTACATAATAATAAATAATAACATATATATATATATATATATATATATATATATATATATATATATATATATATAAATTAATAACGTTAAAACTTATAAAATTTATATTTTTTATATTGAAAAATTCAAATACCTATATCTTTTTTATTTGATAAAACTTCATATTATTCTTGGTTGAGTAATTCTTACACATTTAATTCAAGTCATAAGGATAAAAATAATCGAGTACTTAGGATGAACAAGGACAACAAGAGAGAGAATGTTGTGTTTTAGTAAAGAGAATATTTTCTCGTGAGAGTGAAACTTTTTTAATTCTCTTTTTAAAAATTTTAACTTTATGTATTATCTTTATAATTAATTTTATTATAATAAAAAATATTTTTTTATTAATTAGGCAGGCCGCGGGCTGGCCCGCCCGTCCCGAGGGTTGGCCCAACAGGTTGGCGGGCTTGCAAGGCGGCCAAGCAGGCTGGTGGGCTGAAAACACCAACCCGTCTCGTCGGGCCTGACTTGTTTTTTCATCCCTAATTAATTTGTAACTAGAGTAACTTTGGGAAAAATGGTTGGAAAAAGGAACCATTGTGACGAAAAAGAATTATGTATATGTTAATTATAGTTATTTATTGAAAAGTTATTTACTGAATATGTAAGTTGTTATATGTTATATGTGCAGATAAAATTAAGACACCAGGTAGAGAGAGTATATAGTTGAAATAAATACAAAGATGACTACATTACAAC